CTGCAAATTATGTAACATTTTCCCCAAAGCTTGAGAAGTATCATTTACTAGGAATAAAGCCCATTGTGGAAATAAATACGACGACTCTAGAAAGAGGATCTGGGTGGGTGCCCTGGCCTTGGGCACTTAGCATCAATTTGCTGTGGCAACCTCAGCAGGGTATAATGACACGGAGCTTACCATTTTCTCCAGGGGAACTGATCTCTGCTATCTACAGTTATAATTCTGAGTGATATCCAGCCCTCCCGTGGAGATTGACAAAAATGGTTCCCCAGGAGGAAATGGCTGGTTTGGAGGGTAGAGTCTATGGCATTGTACCTGTCCTGGAGGTGGCAACCCTATCTCCTTCCCAGCAAACCATCAATGTACCGTTATCTACCCCTCTGACTTCAGCTTTCCATCTCCCACCCAGACCTGGAGCCTCTACCTAGGAAAACTACAGTCTTTCTCCTCCTCAGTGGGGACCCAAGCAGAAGGGGAAGCAACCTCAGCAGGGTATAATGAATCTCAGTCCACCCTGCAAAGCAGCCATTTTCTCCAGGGGAACTGATCTCTGCTGTCTGGAGAGCAATCGTAATTCTGAGTGATCTCCAGCCCTCACCCGGAGAATGGCAGCAATGGTTCCCCAGGAGGAAATGGCTGGTTTGGAGGGTGGAGTCTATAGCATTGTACCTGTCTGAGGTCCCTCTTCTCCTCAAACCCCACCCACTCCAAGCTCCATCCCTCAAATTTCCAGGAATTTCCCAACCTGGAGGTGGCAACCCTATCTCCTTCACAGCCAACTATCAACCGACCGTTATCTGCCCCCTGACTTCAGCTTTCCATCTCCTTCCCACCTGCAGCTGTCTGGAGAGTTCTTATTCCATGTCCATTTTACTTAGAACAATTCAAACACCATTGCACTAGTGGAATTGAAGATTGTTACTATGAGAAATGGCCAGAGTGTTTGCTAAATAAATTAATTACATAGGAATTTCAATGCTACCCACTTTGACAAAATGTGAATACGAAACGAGACAGATATGCATGGTCTGTTGTGGTGTTTATGGTGTTTGAATTGTTCTAAGTAAAATGGACATGGAATAAGAACTCTCCAGACAGCTGCAGGTGGGAAGGAGATGGAAAGCTGAAGTCAGGGGGCAGATAACGGTCGGTTGATAGTTGGCTGTGAAGGAGATAGGGTTGCCACCTCCAGGTTGGGAAATTCCTGGAAATTTGAGGGATGGAGCTTGGAGTGGGTGGGGTTTGAGGAGAAGAGGGACCTCAGACAGGTACAATGCTATAGACTCCACCCTCCAAACCAGCCATTTCCTCCTGGGGAACCATTGCTGCCATTCTCCGGGTGAGGGCTGGAGATCACTCAGAATTACGATTGCTCTCCAGACAGCAGAGATCAGTTCCCCTGGAGAAAATGGCTGCTTTGCAGGGTGGACTGAGATTCATTATACCCTGCTGAGGTTGCTTCCCCTTCTGCTTGGGTCCCCACTGAGGAGGAGAAAGACTGTAGTTTTCCTAGGTAGAGGCTCCAGGTCTGGGTGGGAGATGGAAAGCTGAAGTCAGAGGGGTAGATAACGGTACATTGATGGTTTGCTGGGAAGGAGATAGGGTTGCCACCTCCAGGACAGGTACAATGCCATAGACTCTACCCTCCAAAAACCCCATGGACAGTATCAAAAGGCTAAAAGATATGACGCCGGAAGATGAGCCCCTCAGGTCGGAAGGTGTCCAATATGCTACTGAGGAAGAGCAGAGGACAAGTACAAGTAACCCCAGAAAGAGTGAAGCGGCTGGGCCAAAGCCGAAAGGACGCTCAGTTGTGGATGTGTCTGATGGTGAAAGGAAAGTCCGATGCTGCAAAGAACAATACTACATAGGAACCTGGAATGTAAGATCTATGAATCAAGGTAAGCTTGACGTGGTCAAAAATGAGATGGCAAGACTGAACATCGATATCCTAGGAATCAGTGAACTAAAGTGGACAGGAATGGGCGAATTTAACTCAGAAGACCATTATATCTACTACTGTGGCCAGGAATCTCGTAGAAAAAATGGTGTGGCCTTTATAGTCAACAAGAGAGTGCAAAAGTCAGTACTGGGATACAATCTCAAAAATGACAGAATGATCTCGGTCCGATTCCAAGGCACACCATTCAACATCACAGTAATCCAAGTCTATGCCCCAACCACTGATGCAGAAGAGGCTGAAGTGGACCGGTTCTATGAAGACCTACAACACCTCCTAGAATTAACACCAAAAAATGATGTCCTCATCATCATAGGGGACTGGAATGCTAAAGTAGGAAGTGAAAAGGTAACTGGAATAACAGACAAGTTTGGCCTTGGAAAGCAAAATGAAGCAGGGCAAAGGTTAACAGAGTTTTGTCAAGAGAACACACTGGTCATAGCGAACACCCTTTTCCAACAACCTAAGAGGCGACTCTACACATGGACATCACCAGATGGGCAACACCGAAATCAGATTGACTATATAATTTGCAGTCAAAGATGGAGAAGCTCTATCCAGTCAGTAAAAACAAGACCTGGTGCTGACTGTGGTTCAGATCATGAGCTACTCATTGCAAAATTCAGACTTAAACTGAAGAAAATTGGGAAAACCACTAGGCCATTCAGGTTTGACCTAGATCGCATCCCTGATGAATATACAGTAGAGGTGAAGAATAGATTCAAGGGTCTGGATTTGATAGATAGAGTGCCTGAAGAACTATGGACGGAGGTTCGTGACATTGTACAGGAGGCAGCAATCACCACCATCCCAAAGAAAAAGAAATGCAAGAAAGCAAAGTGGCTTTCTGATGAGGCTTTACAAATAGCAGAGGAAAGAAGGAAAGCGAAAGGCAAAGGCGAAAAGGAAAGATTTACCCAACTGAATGCAGATTTCCAGAGAACAGCAAGGAGAGATGAGGAGGCCTTCCTGAATGAACAGTGCAAAGTAATAGAGGAAAACAATAGAATGGGAAGGACTAGAGATCTCTTCAAGAAAATTGGAGAAATTAAGGGAGCGTTCCAGGCAAAGCTGGCCATGATAAAGGACAAAAACGGTAGGGACCTAACAGAAGCAGAAGAGATTAGGAAAGGATGGCAAGAATACACAGAAGAACTATACAAGAAAGACCTTGATGTCCTTGACAACCACGACAGTATAATCACTGACCTCGAGCCAGACATGAACTCTTGGATGTATGCTTCTAATGTATTTGAAGAAAGTTTTATTGTTGGTGTTTATGTTTTTTGCTATATGCTCTTCATAATCCCTTTTTGCCTGCCTGATCATAGACCTGCATTTTATTTGCCACAGCCTGTGTTCCCTTTTATCAACCTCACTGAGACTAACTTTCAACTGCTTAAGGGAATCCTTCTTACCTTTTGCAGCTTCCATTACTTTGTTTGTTAACCATTCAGGCTTTTTTCCAGACCTATTTGGACCTTTCCTAACCTGTGGTATATATTTTTTCTGAGCTTCTAGGATTGTAGTTTTAAATAATCTCCAAGCTTCCCCAATGGTTTTGACCCTTTCTACTTTTCCTTTCAGTTTCTTCCTCATGTGTCCCCTCATATCAGAGAAGTTACCCCCTTTAAAGTTAAAAGTGGCGGTGTCAGTCTTTTGGGGCAACTGCCTATTTATACAAATGTTAAACTCAAGAACATTATGATCACTGTTCCCAAGCGGTGCAATAACTTTTACATCTCTCACCAGGTCTTGGGCATTACTTAGGACCAAATCCAGGATCACCTCTCCCCTGTTAAGTTTCTTCTTTAATTTAAAATCCACAGGGTTCCTTGATAAATAAGGATAAGGGACTTCTGATGTATGCTGTGTTCTTATAACTCTGTAATGTACATGCATTGATTTTCATGAAATATTTGCAACTGTCCATTGATTAACATTCGTATGAAATATTTTATCAGCCACATATTTATTTAGCATGTTCTTCCAATCTACCACACCATACAGGTTTTCATTAGTAAATGATATAACTATGAGAATTTATAGCAGGTTTTATGGAATAATAGAGCCAGTGGGGTGTAAATGATTAATCCATATAATAGCATTTTGCCAAAAGAGAGACAGTTCTGTTGCTTAAGTGGTTATCCAGTGCTTATTGTACAGGATGGTGGCCCAAAGCATGTACTGTTGCAGTCCAAGTAAGGCTTGTTGTAGGAAAAAATACAATGAGCTCTAGAAAGAAGCTCCAGGTGAGTGCCCCAGCTGTGGCTGGTGGGGTGGCGAAGGGAAAGGGAAAATAGAGGCATCTTTATTTCCTTCTTCTTAGCTATAAGGCAGGGCTGTCTCAAGTCATTTTGCTGCCCCAAGTGGGTAGTATGGGAGGAGAGCTGCATGGTTATAGGTACGCTTCCCTCCACCCCTGACTTATGTTGATTTGGGGTTATGCAGTGGCAGCTAAGGTAGAAAAATACTTCCTCCTATGCCATGTCTTCTGGGTTCCAAGAGTCTGAAAAGCAATTCCATAGCCAGTTACAGGGCTTCCAATTCTGGGTTGGGGAATACCTGTAGATTTGAGGGGTAGAACCTGGAGAGGGCAGGGTTTGGGGTGGGGAGAAACCTCAGCAGGGTATAATGCCATAGATTCCACTGCCAAAGCAGCCATTGTCTCCAGGAGAACTGATCTTGGAGATCTCCAAGTGCCACCTGGAGGTTGGCAAAACTAAGGGGAGGGCCAGACCTGTAGACTGTATAAGCAACATATGGACCTGTAGACCGTATAAGCAACATATGGACAAAGATTGTCACAACAGAATCTGAAAAGTATGTTTGCGAAATGCAGTCCAGCCATCACATGTATCCCAACTATGGTAAACGCTAACCAGGTTTTGTCAAGGAAAGGAAGAAAGGAATGACTTTGCACTAGAGCAGGGAGGACAGAGGAGGGGAGATCAGCAGCATTATGGCTGCTCTGTGCCATGCGTTCTACAATAGATATCTTTCCCCGCTTCATTACCCACCAGTATCGAGTTCTTACCTGACAAGTCCATATTGATGTTATAAGAAATCCATCATCTCTGAATACATTGAAGATTTCAATGATGCCCCGGGAATAACCAAAGACAGAGATACTAGCATCAGATATAGCCAGGTTGAAGGTTAGGTAGTCTGTGGGCTGCAGGACAGCTCGCTGCTTGTACAACACAAAAATCACAATGCTGTTTCCAAACCAAGACATCCAACCTGGAATAGAAAATGAAATGGTCTAGACTACTATTATACAATCTAGGTGGAGCTGTCTTTGAACAGGTGATGGAAACTTCACTTAAAATGCACCTACCTAGTTGTCATATGGGACTAGCTGCTAAAATCATCACACTAATCTTGCATTAGTATTAGTTTCTGAACATAATTCAAAGGGCTGTGTTTGAGCTTCAAAGCCCTAAATGGGATACCTGAAGGGATACCTGGAGGGCTACCTTCTCATATGGACTTAGATAAGGAAGTATCTGAGAAGGCCCTCGTTAGACACATTTCTTTGCAGTATTGAGGTGGGCAGCCGGCCGTTTAACCAAAATTTGCCTTGGCTGAGACTGGCTCTATGCAAAATCAGCTTGAAACCTTTTTTCTGGAAACTAGCTGTTTTGTTTCTAACGGGACTTGCTGCTTCCCTGATTACTTGTGGCGTGGATCCAGACAGTGGTGTGGATCCACCCTTCCTCCAGTCTCAAGAGACTTCCTCTAACTGAAGTAGTTCTTCTTTGGAGGATGAGCCACTTAAGTTGCAGAAAATCCCAGCCTGGAGAAAGACTTCAGACTTTACTTAGTGGAGAGGTAGGACAGGGGTAGGATCCATCCCATAACCCTAGTCCCCTCACTTTTTGCTAGCATAAGAGGTGCATGGAGATAGCTTGTGGAAGTTTCCTAGTCTTTAGTGACCTGGTTCAGTTTCGCAGGGCCTGTAAAACGGAGCTCTTCCGCCAGGCTTTTGAGTAGGAGCCGCCGCCACCATCATAAGAACATAAGAACATAAGAGACGCCAATGTTGGATCAGGCCAAAGGCCCATCCAGTCCAACACTCTGTGTCACACAGTGGCCAGAAATACCAGTGCCATCAGGAGGTCCAGCAGTGGGGCCAGGACATTAGAAGCCCTCCCACTGTTGACCCCCCCCCAAGCACCAAGAAGACAGAGCATCACTTGCCCCAGAGCCCCTAGCTATACCTTGTGGCTAATAGCCACTGATGGACCTCTGCTCCATATGCTTATCTAATTCCCTTTTGAATATATTTAAAAATAAATAAAATAAATACAATAAAAACTACTTGTTACTGAAAATCCCTCCATTTCTTTCCTGCCTTCTAAAACTTCTTGCTAGCTATGGAGAACAAGTGGACTGGAGAGTCTTATAGCTTTCCCCCATTTCTGACTCCAGGTGCCACAGCTTTAATGGTTCAAATTGGCTTATGGGCTGTTGATGTGCAACTATTTCACCCCTCATTAGAGCTGAAGAACAGCCTTTACATACCACAGCTATAATGTTCCAGAGGCCTTGGGAGAGACTTTGGCATGGCATCGAATAAGTGGTTCAAGCCAGGTGAAAACACCTGTGTGCCAGTGGACAGTAAAAAAATTCAAAATAAGAAAAGTGTGCTCTTGCTCGCAAGTATCCAGTAGCTACGGTGCATCAGAGTCACCGCCAGGCTTTATTACAGCGTTAAGTACTGGCACATTCCACTAAAAACAGTGCACTAATGACACTAAAATTAGCAGCTCTTATTGGCATGTCTGTAGTTTTTAGCCTCATGCTGGCAGTGATGGTAATGAACCAACATTAAGGGGGAAACCTTGCTATTGGTTCTGTGGAATCCTCTGGATTTTTAGAGATCTTTTATATATTATAAAATAAAAATATAAATACATTGATGATTTAGCTATAGGATTTTCTACCTAAGTGCTGGGCAATTGACTAGCTCTGGGTAGTCAGTGTAAGAGATATTGTAATAGGACTGCTAGTCTCCAGGTGGTGGCTGGAGATCTCCCGGTATTACAACTGGTCTCCAGTTCCCCTGGAGGAAATGGCTGTAGGGGTGCCAAGGGAATTTGTCTTACCGGTGGGGGAGCCTCGGCGGGCTCCGGGAGCTGTCCCTCGACGTGTGCGCAAAGTGAGCGCTGCCAGCACAACACTGGAAGTGACGCACAATGTTGATCACATTGAAGCCGTGGCCGTTTTCCCTCCGACAATCGGGGCCACGCCCCCAATGTGATTGACGTGGTTGCATCACCTCTGGTGACGCAGCCACGCTGTGCTTCGGGGGGCGGAGTTCCCCCCAGGGCCCGATTCCGCGGTGGCAGAAATCGGGCCTCCGAAGCGGGGGTTTACCCGCCCCCACTTGACAGCCCTAAATGGCTGCTTTGGAGGGTGGACTGTATGGCATTATACCCCTCTGAGGTCCCTCCCCAAACCCTGCCCTCCCCAGGTTCCACCCCCAAAATCTCCAGGTATTTCTCAACCCAGAGCTGGCAACTCTATTAGGATGTCAGGTTAGGACTGGGAACCCTTCGTTCCAATCCCCACTCAGTCCTGAAGCGGCCTGATATTAGACCAGCCTTCTTATGTCAGTCTACACAACCCCACAGGATTGTTGTTGAGCTGGGAACTGTGCCCACCACCCTGCTCTCCTTGGATGAAGGGCGGAATAAAAATTTGATTGATAGCCAAAGACGTCCAGTTCATTACATTGAAGTGTAAAGTTCCTCACAAGCCCTTATGCCATGATGACTGAGGGGAACCTCCACATTCAGAGGCAGCCTCTGAATCCCAGAGCCAGGAGAAAACATCAGGGGAAGGCCTCGGCCTCTATGTTCTGTTGTTGGCCATCCAGAGGAACTGGTTGACCACTGTGTGAGACAGGATGCTGGACTAGATGGGCCATTGGTCTGATCCAGCAGGGCTCTTCTTATGTTCTTAAGCCCTTGTTGTGTACTGAGCATGGGTCATCCCTGAGTTAGTATCTGAGACTGGCTGAGCTTGTTGCTCCGGAACAATAGTTTGCCAGGATTCTGGAAGGGACCAATGAGGAAGTAGTGTTATGTAAACAGCCTATTGTTGGGAGTGGGGTGTGTTTGGGTGTGGTGCTTGCATGCCATTTAAACAGGGTGGCAGCCATGGAGTTTGTCTTGTAGTGTTCCTGAAATCACTTAATAAAGTAGAGCTGTTCACTATAATGCATCTTGAACCCAGTATTTAACAGCCCTGCTCTCTGTGCCTGTGCCTTCAGAGATGAGGTGGGTGGAGACAAAAGGCAGGCAGCAGCAGCACCTTACATGTAGGATGCTCTCCTGGTCCCAACTCTCTTTTAGGAGTCAAGACAAAACCTTTCTTTTTACCTTGTAACATAATTTGTCTAGTCTGAGAACTGCTTTATAGGACTTGTTTTAAGCTGCTCAGCATTTTATGCTGTCTTGATGCTCTGGCTGGGTTTCTAATGCAGAGTTTTAAACAGTTTATTAATTACTACACACTTTATAGTGTTTTATGGTTTTTATTATGCTTTACTTTGTGAGCTGCCTCGAGAGGGTTCTCTGGAGAGGTGGCATAGAATATTTCTAAATAAATAAACATTTTGTCAGATTTTAATTGGTCTTGCTATGTAAAGAATCGAAAACGGAGTCTGTTCTTGCTAGGCAAATTGGCTACCCCTCCCCTAAAGCACATGTGTGTCGTTGGGAAGCTGTTAGCAGCAAAACAGTAGAAAACTGTGTTAAGTAGCACACCTACTTGTTCCTAAAATATACAAAGGTTGTGATATGATAATGACCTGCAGTGGGAATCAAAAGTATTCTTTAGAGACGCAGTATTAAGGGGCACCTTTTGAAATGAGGAGCAATCGAGTGCAAACTTCTTTTTTGCGCAATGTTAAAATTCTGTTTGCTTCCACCTTCTACATTCATATTTTCATAGTTTGCCACGCAGTGTAAATTTTGTTTCTTTTTAGTCCCCTAGAGGCATACATTTTAATAAAGTGAATTATTTTAGCGCTTAAATATATTTCAGTTAGCCATAGCTAGCAATACCGGCTTTCTGGAGCATCAAATATACATTTTTATGTGTGTGCATACAATATAAAGAAGATATCTGCTTTGCCAAACAAATCTTCAGTTCTGTTTGGCTGAAGAGCAACTGGAATTATATGCAGCATGGTTCATTACAGGTACTTAGATTCAAGACAATTAGTCCCTTGAAATCAGTATAACCCAACAAGTTTATATGCCGGTATTTAAATTTATCTGAATTGTGACTCGATTGACAGCCTTTCTCTCCTCATCCTCCCTTTTCAGGTACTTCAATTTTTGTCTTTTAAAAGATGTCTGTTTTATACATTTAGATAAAGAAAATTAATTTCCATTTTTATCACCTTGCCCTTAATATAAACACAGTAGAAGATCCTGTGAGATATTATATACGTGTTTATTTTCGCAATGCTTAATTCATGGTGCCACATTCTAAGCAAAGTCACAGCCTTCTAACACTTAGAAAGGTGTAACTCTGCTTAGGGGGGGGCACAGCTAAAGCACAACCCGTACATACCCAAAGCAAGCAGATAGAAGCCAATAATAGTCTCTCCTTGTTCTGTGAAGGGAGTTTCTCTGTTCAGAAAGGTAATGTTGTTGTTCCTCCATGGAGCCTGCGGAGACAATGAGAAAGACATTTTCTGCAGTCTCTCACCCAGAATTTTCCTAGGAGCAAGCAGGAAAAAAATGCCCCCTGTTTACTATATTCTATGGAACTGAGCTCTGAGACTAATGAAGCAGAGGGAAATCTAAGGAGACAAGAAGGAGCTTTGCGGCTTGCCAGCTTGCTTGTATTTACTAATCCTATCTATTAATACTAGTGATCTGTGTAGACAAAGAAATCAGGGTTTTGTCAATTACCTGGCACTGCAATGTGCAAGGATATACTTTACTTTTCTTGGTAAATTATGTGAATTTGGCCTGAAATGGATGCCAATAAAAGTTAAAGGTGTTTAAATGCAGTCTACTCCTTGCAAAATCAGATAAACATTACTGACCTCTTTCCAGAATGACTTAGCAAATTTACAAGAGCATAGCACAGTGGTCTTCAATCAGAGAGGTCAGGACCCTGATGTTGGCTGTGGCACCTGAGCTGCTGGGTTATGAGCCCCTACAGAGCCACCATTTTTTTGGGGGGGTGATGTTTGGAAGAACTCGGCTGCAAATGTGCATGTGTAGAGAGCAAGCATGCCATTATCTCCTGCCTATATTTTTACATATGCTGAGAACAGCAATAGACTAACAAGGTTAAGTTATTCAGCAGTGATGAGGATTCCTCCATAGCTCTGCCCCTTCATAGTTCCTCACTATTGTCCATTTCATGGTGTCAGTTTGTGTTTCCTGTCCATGTTCCCCTGCTGCCACGGCCCTGGCCTTGATACAGGTGAGCTTGTAGTTTTGTCTTCTTGTCATATGGCTCTGATGTCATGGAACTTCCTGTCACATTGTTGTACATATTAGATTCCATGTCAAAAATGAAGTCAAATGAAGAGGAAGATCTATGTTTTATTTCAGTTAACAAGAAAACAGTTGGACCAAATAGTCCATCCAAAATTGACTACTTTATTCTCAGCATATTCAGGAGATATGGTTCAATTAACAGGAAAACAATTGGACCAAATAACTCATCAAAATTTGACAACTTTCTTCTTCTTCTTCTTCTTCTTCATCTTCTTCTTCTTGAACATATTCTGAACATATTCAGGAAATACATGATATTTTATACATGGACTGACATCATCAAGAAAACAATATTCAAAAAGCATAATTGGTTACAAAAGACAGTGGTAATTTCAGTAATAATCCTCTGATTGGCCAGATGTAAAAAGAGATGTACCTACGTAAATCTAAGTGTTAACCTAACCTAAATGACAATGGGCAAGGATTCTTCATATCCCAAACAAAAGTATTGTTTACTGATATGAGAATTCTAAGGGAATGTGCCCTCAGAAGGGACCTCTTCCCCAGCTGGTGAGCGGGTATTCTTTTGCACCAAGGAACCATCCCTGGGCAGGGTGGGAGGGGGGCTCTTGGTAGTTGGTGATTCGATCCTTAGGCAGGTAGACAGCTGGGTGGCAAACCCGCGTACTGACCGTATGTTGACTTGCCTGCCTGGTGCGAAGGTAGTGGACATTACGCGTGTTTTAGATAGGCTGGTAGATAGTGCTGGGGAGGAGCCAGTGGTCGTGGTGCATGTCGGCACCAACGATGTGGGGAAATGCAGTCATGAGGTCCTGGAGAAGAAATTTAGGCTGCTGGGCAGGAAACTTAGGTCCAGGACCTCCAAGGTAGCTTTCTCAGAAATGCTACCTGTTCCACGTGCAGGGCTGGAGAGACAGGCACAGATCAGGAGTCTTAATGCATGGATCAGACAATGGTGTAGGGGGAAAGGTTTCAAGTTTGTTAGGCACTGGGATGCTTTTTGGAACAAGAGGGAGCTGTACAGGCGAGACGGTCTCCACTTGTCCCGAGAAGGAACCAGGCTGCTGGCACTTAAAATCAAAAAGGTGGCAGAGCAGCTTTTAAACTGAATATTGGGGGAAAGCCGACAGGAGATGAAAAGTCTCTGGTTCGGGTTGGCTCATCTCAGAGAGATGAGGGGGTACCTGTTGCTTTTCTACAGGGAGGTGGATTGAAATTGTCCACAGAGGCCATGGCTGGTGACATGGACTGCCGGACAACGACTCGAGATAGCAAGAGGAAGGATGCAGGCTTAACTTGTAAGGGAAATTACAGCTGTTTCTATACAAATGCTAGAAGTGTCCGAGGTAAAATCGGGGAGTTGGAGTGCTTGGTGTCGGAGGGAAAAATAGACATTGTGGGTATTTCTGAAACTTGGTGGGATGAGGAAAATCAGTGGGACACAGTGATTCCCGGTTATATATTATATCGGAAGGATAGGGGGGGAAGGGTTGGAGGTGGGGTAGCTCTGTATGTCAGAGAGGGTATAAAGTCTAGAAAGATTGAGAGGCTAAGTGAATTGGATTCGCTTCTGGAAGTTCTATGGGTTGAAATAGGGGGGCCAAAAGGAAACTTAACACTGGGAGTTTGTTATCGCCCACCAGATCAAAAGATAGAGGAGGATTATAAAATGATGAATGCCTTAAAGATAGCAACTAGACAAAAACACTGTGTAATAATAGGTGATTTTAACTACCCACACATTGATTGGGTCAATATGTGTTCTAGCCGGGAAAAAGAGATTGAGTTTCTAGACACTCTAAATGACTGTGCTATGGAGCAGATGGTCACGGAACCTACCAGGGGAGAGGCGATCCTTGATTTGGTCCTAAGTAACACTCAAGACCTGGTGAGAGATGTAAAAGTGATTGCACCGCTTGGAAACAGTGATCATAATGTTGTTGAGTTCATCATTTGTACAAATAGAGAATTGGCCAAAAAGACTCACACAACCATTTTTAACTTTAAAAGGGGTAATTTCTCTGATATGAGGGGACACGTGGGGAGGAAACTGAAAGGAAAAGTAGAAAGGGTCAAAACAATTGGGGAAGCTTGGGATCTATTTAAAACTACGATCCTAGAAGCTCAAAAAATATATATTCCGCAGGTTAGGAAAGGCACAAAAAGGTATAGGAAAAAGCCTGCATGGTTAACAAACAGAGTAATGGAGGCTGTAAAAAGTAAAAAGAATTCCTTTAAGCAGTGGAAAGCTAGTCACAGTGAGGCTGATAAAACGGAACACAGGCTATGGCAAATAAAATGCAAGTCTGAGGTCAGGCAGGCAAAAAGGGAATATGAGGAGCATATAGCAAAAAACGTAAAAACCAACAATAAAACTTTCTTCAAATACATTAGAAACAGGAAACCAGCCAGGGAGGCAGTGGGGCCCTTGGACGACCAAGGGGTAAAAGGAGTATTGAAGGATGATAGGGAAATGGCTGAGAAGCTAAATGCATTTTTTGCCTCCGTCTTCACTGTGGAAGATGAGAAGTGCTTGCCCACTCCAGAACCACTGATTTCAGGAGGGGTGTTGAAAGACCTGAGTCAGATTGAGGTGACGAGAGAGGAGGTCCTAAAACTGATAGACAACTTAAAAACTGAAAAATCACCAGGCCCAGATGGCATACATCCGAGAGTTCTGAAAGAACTCAAATGTGAACTTGTAGATCTCCTGACAAAGATATGTAATCTTTCCTTAAAATCTGCCTCCATTCCTGAGGATTGGAAGGTAGCTAATGTCACTCCCATCTTTAAAAAGGGTTCCAGAGGAGATCCGGGAAATTACAGGCCAGTCAGTCTGACGTCGATACCGGGTAAATTGGTGGAAACCATTATTAAGGAAAGAATTAGTAGGCACATAGATGAACAAAACCTATTGAGGCAGACTCAGCACGGTTTCTGTAAGGGAAGATCTTGTCTCACTAACCTGTTAGTGTTCTTTGAGGGGGTGAACAAACATGTGGACAAGGGGGATCCAATAGATATTATTTACCTTGACTTCCAGAAAGCTTTTGATAAAGTTCCTCATCAAAGGCTCCTAAGTAAGCTCAAAAATCATGGGATAGAAGGACAAGTCCTTTTATGGATCAAAAACTGGCTAGTTCATAGAAAACAGAGAGTGAGTGTAGGTGGGCAATTTTCTCAGTGGAGGGTGGTAAGCAGTGGGGTACCGCAGGGATCAGTACTTGGTCCACTGCTTTTTAACTTGTTCATTAATGATTTGGAGATGGGAGTAAGCAGTGAAGTGGCTAAATTTGCGGATGATACAAAGTTGTTCAGGGTGGTGAAAACCAGTGAGGATTGTGAGGCACTCCAAGGGGATCTGTCAAGGATGGGCGAGTGGGCGTCAACATGGCAAATGGGGTTCAATGTGGCCAAGTGCAAGGTGATGCACATTGGAGCCAAAAATCCTAAATATAAATACACATTGATGGGGTCTGAACTGGCAGAGACTGAGCAAGAGAGAGATCTTGGAGTTGTAGTGGATAACTCACTGAAAATGTCGAGACAGTGTGTGACTGCAATAAAGAAGGCCAATGCTATGCTGGGGATTATTAGGAAGGGTATTGAAAACAGATCAGCCAATATAATAATGCCCCTATATAAATCAATGGTGAGACCTCATTTGGAATACTGTGTGCAGTTCTGGGCACCACACCTTAAAAAGGATATTATAGCTTTGGAAAAAGTGCAGAAAAGGGCAACTCGAATGATAAAAGGGTTGGAACACTTTCCCTATGAGGAAAGGTTAAAGCGCTTAGGGCTCTTTAGCTTGGAGAAAAGACGACTGAGGGGTGACATGATCGAGGTTTATAAGATTATGCATGGGAAAGAGCAGGTAGATGGCAAGTGGTATTTCTAGCCACTGTGTGACACAGGGTGTTGGACTGGATGGGCCTTTGGCCTGATCCAACATTGGCGTCTCTTATGTTCTTATGCTCTTATGAGACTAAAATCTTCTCTGACCCAGACATTGCAAGGTTTTGCCCTAAAGAACTACAGAATTATGAACTTTGTACCTATTATGTTGTCTACTAACAATATCAGACCTACAAGAGGAAAGCCTTCTATATAACATGCCTTTCTAACATCCTAATAAAATATTACTTAAAAGAGAAATCCATAAAACCAAGACAAAATATGAACAAACAATGAAGAAGAAAAAAACGTATATAAAAAATCTTTATATTACCATTCATACTACAACACGGCTGCAGCTCACTGGGTCCTGAAGACCATTGCTATAAGTATGAAATATAAGCATATGACAAGAGGATTTCCCAAAAGCTGATGGATAATTCAGTTTGGTGTAGTGGTTAAGAGCAGTGGACTCTAATCTGGAGAACAAGGCTTGATTCCCCACCCCTCCACATGCAGCTAGCTGAGTGATCTTGGGTCAGTCACAGTTTTCCCAGAGCTCTCTCAGCCCCACCTACCTCACAGGGTGTCTGTAGTGGGGAGAGGAAGGGAAAGGAGTTTGTAAGCCGCTCTGAGACTCTGAGTGAATGGTGGGGCATAAATCCTCCTCCTCCTTCTTCTGACATCTAGTAAGTCTGTAGAACTCTGTGGATAAATTTAAATTCTTCAGTTGTTGTGACTATGTTATTTAACAATATTTGCTTGAAATGGGTTCTGCTTCAAAAAAAGTGAGAACCACTGTTCTAACTGCCAGTCAGAGTAGACAATAATAACCCTGACAGACCAAAGTTCTGTCACAGTCTAAGGCAGCTTCATCCATTAATTCAGAGCATTTAATGAACAGTTTTCTAGTTTTCAGCCTAACTATAACACTGGTTTTCAGTCCAGATATATAGGGGCTGTGGCTCAGTGGCAGAGCATCTGCTTGGCATGTAGAAGATCCCATGTTCAAACCTTGGCACTTCCAGTTAAAGGATCTGGCAGAAGGCGATGGGAAGGACCTCTGCTTGGGACCCTAGAGAGCTGCTGCCAGTCTGAGGAGACAATACTGACCTTGATGGATGATCTGATTCATTACAAAAGCGCTTCATATGTTCAAGCTAGATAGGGTGCATTTTTATTTCTAATAATTAATCTAATAATGAAATAAGTGGTTCATATTGTCAGGGGAAGGGAGGTGACTCCTGTGGAATGTTGTAGTTCTACAGGCATTTCCAGCTGGCAGGTAGCAGCACGGTGTATCTGTTGTCAGCACAGTGAATGCAGTGTAGAAGGTCAAGGGTTTCTTGCAAATTGTTATAGTATATGGGTTCACTCCTTGCAAATCTGCATTTCTACCATTAAGCCAGATACGTTGCTTTTGGAGAATGTGTACCATTAGCAATATGACGAACAACAGGGATGAGTATTAGCCTATAATTTCAAGAAAATCTTGAGCTCTCTCAGAGATAAGTAAACCAGATCAGAGCTCATCACCAAGATTATGTTCCCTCAAACCATCTCTATTGCTAATCCACCTCACCTGCCTGCCTGCCTGCCTGCCTGTCTGTCTAGAGGAAGGGCTTGTTCCTGCTTGTCTTATTCTTAAGGAAGCAGACATAGTTCTAGGTGTTTGTAGTGAGGCACAGAAAGATTAAAAAGAACAACGACCCACACCCTTCAGGACAAATTAGTGGCTATGGTTTTTTTTACCTGTTGCTGCCAGCTAGCATTTCCTTTATCTGTCATAATGACTGTCATCCTGAAAGAGGAAAAGAAAAAAAAGAATAAGATGCAGTTGCTGAATTTAGCAAAGGTCTCAAGAAACAAAGAGGAGGTAAAATACATCACCCCTGAAGTTAATAGACAACCCGTTGCTTTGAATAAGGGGTCAGTGATGACACTCATTCAGCCTGTGAGGAAATGTTTTCTCTATTTAATTTAATTATGTCTCAGTGCCTTTCTTTAAGATATTATTTAAAATGTTTATTAAAGTGTTTAATTAATTTTCAAAAATAACCCATTTTTATACCATTAGCTCTTTCTTTGCAGTAAACAGTCTGCACTGCCCGCTGATTTCAGGTCCCCACTCACTAGCTCTAAAATTATGACATGGGTTTTTTTTGTCTAGGTATTTACAGACACCCCCTTCCATCCCCTTCCTTGCACTGTTGTGAATGGTCACTGAGCTGATCTTATATTCTTTTGAGTTTTGTGTAAAAATGTCACAAACTGTACCTCTTCCATTTTGTGGCATTTTAACTTGACTGTTCATCTATATACTAATAGCGAAGCCGCCCCGTGTGCGAATATCTAAATCCGCACATCGGGGGCACCTGGGGGGCAGGGAGATTTTCCTGCGCACGTGGGGCAATGCCCAGGTGTGCAGAAAAATATGAAAAGTTGGGGAAATATTTAAATTCCCTAAAAAGTAAAAAATAAAAGAGCATTCCATGCACATGCGCAGAGAACGCTCTGGGAACTGGAGGGCCGGCGGCTGGAAGGCTCTCAGGCCTCGCCGCCGGAGCCGGGGTGGGGTGGGGGAAAGAGATTGGTGGGGCCCAAGCCGGGGGGAGGAGGAGATTGGGAGGCCCGAGCGGCCGGAAGCCACACGGACCTCGCCGCCGGAGCGGGGGGCGGGGAAGGAGATTGGTGCGACCTGAGGCAGGGGGGGGAAGAAGAGTTC